CGCCTTAATATGATACAAATTCGATTTACGTCCCGTCGCTACCGCACAATGAGTTAGACAGAGACAGAAGACTGCCGTATGTCGTGCATCGGCTCTGATAGTAGGCGATGTAGAAATCGCCGAATAAAGGCATTCCAACGGTCAAAATTATTTTGTTTTCTAACGCAGCGGCACAGTCAGCGGTCAGCGTACGCCAGCGGTAGTGAATATGTTAATATAGTATAAGACCACAAATATTAAAATAAAATTGATTATTAAAATACACTTCCGTGTATTAACAGTATTTTTATGTATTGGAAACATTAATAGAGTAAATAATGTAATGTAATAAATCGCTTAAATTCTGACAAAATCTTAGGGTAGGCGCCGCCTACCTTGCCTACCCTGACGATCCGCCACTGATGAAAACAATACAATTATGTCACCTAACTTTTAGGCGTTACCATGAATTTCGTAATAATTGGTAGGTATACGTGGCGAAATAAAAGTATAAAAAATTTACCTACCTTTTAAAAATGGGCAATTTTTCAAGTATTAAAAATATTTTATTCTAGACCAGCAGATTAAATCATATTTTGTTGTACTACTTTTTTTTTATGGCAATGGTACGTTTGCAACGTTTTTTACGTAAAAAATGTTCTTATTAAAAATAGATACGAGTAAATGGTTCTCGAGATATTTGAAATCGAAGTTATCAATACCTGTCATCATTGATATAATTTAAACATGTTGACTATAACAGTTATTAGACGGAAATCATAAATTTGAAATGTTTTTATGTCAAAGATTCAACAGAAACTGTTTTACCATCATTCTTTCAAAGAAAAATTTATGACTAATTTAAAAAAAAATAAAAATTTCCCAAATTTATCATTTCACTGAAATAACTATCTACTTAACACATTTATTTTTTGTCAATAATGATATGTATTGTCTACTTCCATTTTACATATCTTGAGAACAGTTGCTCGTAGCGATTTTTGCAAAGAGACATTTTTTACGTAGAAAATCATGGAAATGTATATTTTTTCACTCAGGAGTTTTATACAGGTCCGGACGAAAAGTTATTACTTTTCAAAACAGTTAAAACACTTGTAGGTGGCGCCCCCTACAAATAGGAGTCATATTGACATCAAAATCAAATTTTTTATGTCAAAAAAACTTATCCAATTTTCATCTAAATATTGTCGTTACTTCAGAAATTATTTGAAAAAAATTTTGAAATAAAAATGAAAGTTTTACACTCTGTATCTCCGAAACTAGGGAAAGATTTCACCAAAATATCAACATTTTGTTTTTCCTGATATAATTGACAGATAGCAACTTTCATTTTTAATTTAGAAAAAGATACTAAAAAGTAAAATAATTCAGCTACAAATTGCTTAAAAATGATCAAAATCAATGTATAAATCTTTAAGATTCAAGAAAATCTTAAGGTGTTCGTTTTTCGCGCCGGTAAGTGTATTTTCAGGACATTTTATGCTTGGGCATTTATTCTTAAATTAAGTACAAAATTAAATTTCTTAGCGTTTGGTCCCATTAATTCCTCTAATTCTTCTTTGGTGAGCATTATTCCACTTGACAACATCGAATCGTTCCAGTTTGAGCACTCGCTTTGTTTCACGATTGTTTTTTCTTCAATTTGCGAGGAAATTTCAAAAGAAAAATCAGAAGCTCGCGCACATGAACCGTAATATACAACACATATTTCCACATAAGATTTAAAAAAGTAATAGGAACACTTAAATATACCCCCGTAACAGAGAAAAATAAAAACCTTATCTTTATGATTCATATTTTTTGACATTTCGTTACTCGATATCAGAGCCTCTTGATGGGTGTCTATTAAATGTGTTTTTAGCAATTCCATTACACCCTTGTAGCCGCAACTATCTATTGGACATTTTATTGTGTTAAATTCACAATTATCTCGATGAGAACTGACGTCACCTGTTGCCAATATTTCCTTACAGCCTTTCCAAGCGTTTTTACACGCAACCTTCGAAGATCCATCCAAGTTTCGTACGCACGCTATACACATGTCTTTCTGGCAAGTTTTGCACGATATATGTTTGAAAAAGCAGACTGTGTAATTTCCTGCCTCGACCATATTCATGCAGTTCAAACATTTTTTCTGTATGACTGGTAGGGTCGAAATAGATTCGTAGAAATTCTCGTACAAGCGGGGAGTTTGGTTGTTGTTTATTTCCAGTGCAGGGGTGGTTTCTTGAGTATTTTCTGCGGATGGAGGGATAGTTTGAACATTCTTTTCTACGTGATGTGGAACAGGTGTAGTTATTGGTATATCGTAAAGCTGATCAATATTGTGGCTGTTCGTATCGGTGGTTTCACCAATATTCGTTTTCATCAAATCGGGAAAACCCAAATATTTCTTTTCGCACGTCAGTTCATGAGCCCCGTCACTGTCAAAAGCGAAAGTATAATCACAGCCCATTTTATGGTACCTGCATGGGAATACAAGGCACGTTCCTAAAGCTTCGTAGCTGATTTGTCGTACGCACTGATTTTTCTCGTTTTGCGGTAGGATTTTGTAGCACTTCGAGCATATTTGGAATCCATTTTTTGCCACTACCGGTGCACTGTTTAAATATCCCGCGCAAATACTGCATTTTAGTTTGTCCAGTAGATTGTCCGGTACGCGAAACATTGTTAAATTTTTAAACTGACGCTCTAATGGTATGCCAGCGAAACATTTTTGAACGGGCGTATAGGTAAACAATGGTTTGTTAATCTACGTGTGACGATATTGCTCTTATCAGGAATGTGTCAACCATTTTATCGGGCCGCCGACGATTAATATTAATAGAGTTACTTTAGTTTGTTCAACCAGATAACGGTATTGTAACGAAAAAAACATGGTAAATGTATGTTGTAATTGTCGAATAAAACTAACAAGATTTCTATTTTTAAAAATTATTTGTTCAATTTCTAATAAAAAAATTGTGTGTGCACTATGTGCGCATATTTGAAGTGAAACTTCGTACTAACAGCTACTAAATTGAAGGATCTGGAGGACATGTTTGAAAAAGTGTAGGTTGAAATGGTGAAAAAGTAGTAAATTAAAAAAAATATGCATAAAAACTTATAATAGTTTTTTACGTGTAACAAATAGTTTTTTACACGTACGAGTCATAATTTATATTCAGTGTGTTTTGAAAAATGATTTTTAAATTTCTGGGTAAATATATTCCTTTTTTAAAATATCACAAATAATTGATATAATTAATTTCAATTTTATCTGATGGAAGAATTTTAAAACAGTCTTATTCATTAAAGTAAAGTAAAGATTTCAGTTAACGTCTCCTTTTTGCTGCGGGCTAATCTGGACGGGGCCTACTTTGTTTACGCGAAATCCGTACCGCGGTCCTCGGCTATATCATGGTCAGTGGCCTACCGACTTAGGAAGTGTCTACATTAACTCTTACTCACGAGATATACGATCTCATCCGGCCTCGAGCCGGCGTGAATGAGCAGTGTGTATCAATAGATACAGAGTTTCGAACCGGTCACCCGTCCATCCACCAGTATCGCCTTACGTCGCTTAACTTCGGTGTTCTAATGGGAACCGGTATTTCAACGTAGCTAGGCCGTTGCCTTTTATTCATTAATCATTGTCTCATTTATTGTAATAGTCTTATCCAGAGGTGGATGGGCCATATGGGAAAACGGGAAAATTCCTGGTGGGCCGGTGGAAAAATGGGCCGATGGGCCGGTCCCGATCAGAGCTCAAAAAAGATTGGATTAGCAAAAATTAAATGGTTAATCTTCTAACTAAAGTGACGTAAGATCCTTAGTGATCCATAACAGCTAACTAATCAATTTTTATCAGAGTATAATCGTCAGTTGCTTTTAAACACAAACACCAATTTGTAAAATAACTATTGTAAAATGTCTTTCTCTGGGACACTTATAATTTTAATAAGCATCTGTTGTTTGTTCGGTTTGAAAATTTTTATTATACAAGGTGTCTATAAGTGCAAATATTTTCAGGGCTGGTAGATCTCAATAAAATAATCATAATATGTTTTCTTTATCGAGTTTCAAATAAGTCCCCAATTGAGTTGTTAAAGTTTGGAAATAAAAAAAAATATTTTTTTTTTTAAATTTTGTAAAAAAACTCATAAACGTGTTCCTGGGGTCAAAATGTACCATCCCTGAAAATATTTGCACTTATTTCACTCACCCTGTATAGTTTTACCCAATATTCTTTTATTAATAACTAATAAATATGACTAATAAATATGACTGACGGCAGCAATAAAAAGAATGAATATATTAGGTAAATTTAAATAGTCTCGATCTAAATGTATCCTAAGAATACGGTAGCGTAGATTGACAACTGGGGGCCTCGGGGCAATATTTATCGAGCTCCCCTTTGTAAGAAGGTAGACGAATTTGAGGCGAACTCTGCGGTTTACAGAGAAAACATATTTATGCTTGGCTTAAATTGGGGACGAACTAGATTAGATAATAAAATATTAATATATCTCGAAAATCCAAATATTCTTTATTATGGACTATAACATAACATTACATCAGAACATATTTATATCCACTGCCTAGGTATTGCCAAAGTTTGCAGAATAAAATATTATTCTGTAAACTTTGGTATTGCCTAGGTTTTTTTCGTTTGAGTCATAGCATTATCATACAAGACAAGATGCCAAATGTACCTACAAAAGTATAGAGGAAAAGTTTCGTGATAAGAACTATTGTATAATATCCTAAAAAAATGCTGCAGTTTTAATGGCGACCGCGGTTCATTTAGTTAAAAACACGTGTACACGAGAAGGCTGCTGCTGTAGCAGAAAAGAGAGAATTTCTTTCTACAATGTGTAAGAAAGTATATATTAGAGATAGAAAATGGCGCTGTAGTAACAACGTGTGGCTGGGCCTCTCGTGTAAAATTGTACTGACTAGAACAGATATAGAAGAGGTTCGCCGAGTTGTGAAGGTTGAGTTGGAAAAGATCTTTAATGATGATAATCAGAGATGGATATGTATATATTATGGATAATCAGAGTCTCAGGGCTGATTTGGACAACCTCGAGTAACATTCAAGGCGGGAGAATATTCGCATATTTGGCTTAAGGTACGAAGAGCATGAGAACACTTTAGAGAAGGTGGTGAATTTGTTCCAGACTCAATTGAAAGTGGACATGAGTAAGAGCGACATCAAAAAATGCCACCGAATCTTTGTAAAAAATGCGCGACCTGATAGGGCTCCGGCAGTAATGGTGCAGTTCGTAGACATTAACAAGCGATCGTCAGTACTGAAGTCGAGACGAGAATTGAGAGGATCGAAAATATTTATTCAGGAAGATCTTACAAAACACAGACTTGATCTTCTAAACACCGCAATCAACAAATTTTCCCGGAATAGTGTTTGGTGTAGTTACGGAAAAGTGTTTGTGAAAAATAATGGTGTAATTCATCACATAGAGGATTTGCAACATCTCGAACAGATTTAATCTTTGGCAAGTACTAAATCGTATTGAGTAGTGTTTTTATTTCAACCAGTTAAAATTAATTCTAACTTTCTTTAACGGATTTTGAATGAATAAATAAATACTTGTCTAGGAATATAATTTATCTTTTAACAAATCATGCTTAATTTATATTTTATCTCGCAGCAAAATATGCATTTTTTTACACACTATACCACTTAATAAAATATCTCATTGAACGGCAAAAAAAAATCATGCTATATATGCATTGTATTGCCTGTTCGCGGTTTAAATATATTTACTTCTTAATTTAACTAGAGTATCTAAACTTGGAAAAAAGTAAAATAACTGCTCTATCTTGGGCAAATTTTAGTGATTTTTGAAATCTACTTTTGGTTTCTTTGGATTTAATGTATATTAGAGTATATATCTCTCTAAAACATTTTATTTCCTTGTTCTATAATATCAGGATCTTTATTTATTTATTTTAAGCACAAATATATTCATTTGTATTTGCATTATGTATTGTTTTTTACATTTGGGGTATGCTTTGTATGTTTTGGGATAATTTACAGAATATTACTTCTGCTATATCTTGGTAATAGAATATATTTCTTTTACATATTCTTATATCATGTCATCTTGTTATTATTAATGTTTATTATACTTTAGGGATATGATATAACGAACATTTGAGCCTCTTTTAATATAATCTTTTCTTGGTAATTTACTCTAGAAATATTTTTAATTCACTGAATAGAACTGATAATAATCAAGTAAATAAAGACGCTCATGCCGCATGCAGTAAGTCTCTTATTATCTTTTTTCAGCTTACTGCAGCTTTTATTTGATTTTTTTTTGTTGATACTATAATATTTGTATAGGTAAATTTATAAATAGTAAGAGGGTAAGACATTGTATAGGCAAATTTAACATGAATGACTTAAAAATAGCGCATCTAAATGTGAGATCCTTGGTTGCGCATCTTAATGACTTTAAAAATTTAGTTGTTATGTATAAATTTGATATAATTGGGATAACAGAAACGTGGCTTAATGTATCTATTCCCAACCAAATTTTAAATATTAATGGTTATAGACTGGAATGACAGGATAGACGGGGTAGGAGTGGTGGTGTTGCGATCTATATTAAAAACACTTTTAAATATTCCTTAATTTCGTGTACTTCTGATATTGAAGAAATATGGATTAAATTAAAATTAAAGACAACAACAATTTCCATTGGCATTATTGTATATAAGCCTCCCGTATTGAACTATATAGAATTTTTCAATAGTCTTGAAACATCTTTTTCTAAACACATTCCAGTGTCGGATCATATTATTTGCTTAGGAGATTTTAATATAAATTTATTGAATACCGACAGTGCTGAGACTAGATTTGTTTTTGATTTCTTTGAGACATTGGGTCTATTTCAAATTATTAATTCACCTACAAGAATTGCAAATTCCTCAGCATCTTTAATAGACTATATTTTAATATCCGATAAAAATATTGTCACCGAAACAGGCACCGAGCCAGTTGACTTCAGTGACCATGATCTGATCTAGTGCGCGGTCAAAATAAATGTTTCAAAAATAAAACCACAATTTAAAACAGTTAGAAATTTTAAATCATTGAATTACGACCAATTTCAGTCTCATTTAAAAGCAATTCCCTGGAACAATATATATTCCATAGACGATGTGAATGACAAACTTAATTTTATGTGTGAAAATATTGATATTCTTTTGGACCTGCATGCTCCTTTTGTAACACATCGCATTACTAAAAAATACGCCCCATGGTTTACAGATGCTCTTAGAGCTATGAAGAGGGATATAGATAAGGCTTTGGCAAAGTACAAGAAATCCAAATTACTTACCGATTGGGAGAATTACAAACTTTTTAGAAATATGTTTACCGTAGCTGTTAAAAGGGAAAAGAAGTGTTACTTCACAAATAAATATAATAATGGAAATTCTAAAGAATTATGGTCCCATTTAAAACTCATCGATTTGAAGTCTAGGAATGATAATTCCATACCAGCAGAAATAGCAAATGTTGAGCATATTAATGATCATTTTGTGGAATCCGTACCTAAATTACATGTAGACAATGATATTGTTTTGTTTTATGAACAAAACAATTTTGTGAACCACGACTTTAATTTTCATGCAGTAGATGAGATTGAGGTTTTAAGAATAATATCTAACATAAAAACAACCGCAGTAGGCATTGATGGACTAAATATACTTTCGATAAATTTATGTATACCTTTTCTTTTACCTTATATTACTCATATCATAAATTTTTGTATACATAATTCTATATTTCCTAGTATGTGGAAGAGGTCGTTAGTAGTTCCTCTGCCAAAAGTTCCATTAGTCGACTCTTTAAATCAATTACGACCAATAAGTGTATTGCCCACTTTTTCGAAGATATCAGAAACAATATTACATAACCAGTTAACTGCATACTCGACGCAAAAGTGTGTAATTCCAGCAAAACAATCGGGTTTTAAAAAGGATCATGGCTGCAATACGGCATTGCTCAGCATTACGGATGAGATATTAGAGGCATGGGATGAGGACAAATTAACAGTATTAGTTTTGTTGGACTTTAGTAAGGCCTTTGACACTCTTAGCCATAAAATCCTTGTTTCAATTTTGCAGAGTGTTGGACTTTCAGAACAGGCTGTTCACTTACTCAAGGAGTTTTTAAAAGACAGAAGTCAAGCAGTAACTTATAGCGTTAGTTCTCATTTTCTGAATACATTACTGCCTAGCAAATATCACCTTTACGCTGACGATACACAAATTTACTTGTCATTTCCTCCTGAAGAAAGTATTCAAGCTATCTCGGCATTAAATTATGATTTGAATCAATTTTCTCTCACGGCAAAAAATCATGGTCTTTTTTTAAACCCTAAGAAGTCTGTAGTATTAGTTTTTGGTAAGGGTGGTGACAGACAAAAGTTTTTGGATTCCTTTTCGAACTCAATTGAAATAAATAATTCACCTTTACTGATAAAAACGAGCGCAAAAAATTTAGGAGTTATCATGGATCAAAATCTCAGATTTCAAGAGCATATAAATGCATGCCTTCAGAAAGCTTATTTAAATTTGAAACTTCTCTTTCAACATCGTCATGTATTAAATAGAAATATAAAAACAATGTTATGCGAGGCACTGGTATTGTCACATTTAAATTTTTGCGATGTTCTCTATGGACCTTGCATTACAAAGCGAATTGCTAATAGCATTCAAAAATTGCAGAATTCTTGTATACGTCTAATTTTTGGGATCCGGAAATATGACCATATTAGTCAAGCATATAAGCATTCAGGATGGTTATTGATGAACGAGCGGCGCCACCTTCATCTGCTTTGTCTGTCCCACAAAATTTTAATAAACAAGTCACCACCATATCTTTACGAGAAAATTCGGTTTCGCACAGACATTCATAATATTAACATTAGATTTAAGGGAAAGCTAACAATTCCTAGTCACAATACTACTTTGTATGAACGATCCTTTTCATATTTAATCGCAAAATATTTAAACGACTTCTCCGAAAATATTAACAGGATGTCTATAGTGCTACATTTAAGAGAATTGTTCTTCAGCACATGGTGGGACATGCTCATTATTTTACATTCAGTTATTTTACTTTGAAAATTTCCAAAAAAATAATGTTTTGCTCAAATTTTGAGAACCACTGGATCTTTTCTGGATTTTCTTTCTTATAAATTTGCCTATGTTGTCATATTATCAAGAAGTTATGTTTTTTAACTAAAAACTAAAAAAAAATCCAAAACATTTTTCAAAAAATTCCGAATTTTCAAAAGTTTTTTTTGCGAAAAAACCTCATAGGCGTGTTTCTGGGGTTCAACTATACTACCAGTTAAAATTCTTGTACTTATTTCTAGGAGACCTTGTATTAATAAATAAAATATGTTTCTTCGTTGTGGTCATTTTGTTTTTGTGGATTTCCACTTCCCCATCCACCCGTCTTATCATACTTTTTTTTTAATGTTAAAATCTAATTGTACTAAAATATCCTATACAGGGTGAATTTGAAATAACTACAAATATTTTCAGAGCTGGTAGACCTCGATAAAAGAAACATATTCTATCTTTACCGTTTTTTCAAATAAGTCCAAAATAACCGAGTTATTTGACTTAGAAAATTTCCAAAAAAATATTTTTTGCTTAAATTTTGAGAACCACTAGATCTTTTCTGCAATGGGTTTTATTTCTTGTAAATTTAATCTACTACATATGTTGCCATATTATCAAGAAAATATGTTTTTTAACTGAAAACTAAAAATATTTTTAATTTTTTTTTCAAAAAATTCCAAATTTTCAAAAATTTTTCTTCGCAAAAAAAATCTCATAATCGTATTTCTGGGGTCGAATTATACCACCGCTAAAAATAGTTGCACATATTTAAGACTCACCCTGTATTTTGCATGTTATACAAAATAAGACAAAACTAGGGGCTTCATATTTTTCTATACTAATTAAAAGAGATCACATAGTATTTTATGTTACAAATCTACAAAACTTTAATCCGACTTTATGTTTTGTTGAGTATTTTCAATACTTAAACATAAAAGTGATTGAAATCGACTAAATATCAAGATAGGACTTTTAATCGACATTAAACGGCTCTACACAATTTTTATAACAAGAGAAAAAAAGTGTCATACATGTTTTTTAACAAAATTATTTCAGTGGAAGCCCAAGTTATGTAGATAATACATATTTAAATTAACTTTTACTCTCAAGATGTCATTCGAATAGCAATATGCGCTCGGAAGAAAATTATAATAAACCGAAAAAAAGAAAATTTTTACCCCCTCTATCTACCAAAAAAAGCAGAATCTGACCTATAATGATATAAAAAAATAAAATTTATCTTTACGTGAGAAATGTCTCCTAAGTATGTTCGGTCTTCCGGTATACCGGTACCAGGACCGGTACTTTTGAAATATTCCGGTATCGTCTTTTTCAGCACCGGGATACCGGTTTCGGTACCGGTACAGGAAGACCGATTTTGGTACCGGTACCGCAAGACCGGTTTAAATGGATCCTAAAAGACGGGTTACAATACAAACAGAAAAATAGATTCATAATAATATAAAAATCAAAAAGCCTGTATAAAACGATTTCGGTACCGGTTTTCGTGCAAAGCTGATTGTGTTCTCCTACTCTAGGTACCGTATGATCGAAAAAAAAACTGCGTCAGCGATGGCTATGAAATGAAGATCGCTGTAATTTTATATGTAAAATTATATGGGGAATGAAATTGATGTTCATTTCCAAGCCAACTGGACGCCGTTTTTTTTCGATCATTCTGTATAATACGATCAGGAACATGCAATGTAATTTATTTTGATGTACTTTTAAGGCATTGCTAGTCTAGTTTGGTTTAGTAATCTAGTCTTTTTTTAGTGCATCTAAAATTCAAATAAAGCATCTTACTCATGTATCACTCATGTATATAAATTAAAATGTCCGTAAAACTCCGATATTCAATAGCGTCTACTCTATTATTTAAAATAGCATCTTATTTCCGCTCCATGTATGTATATATCCAAGAACAGAAGCTTCCAATACTTATTGCATTCTTCATAAGTAAAGAGAATGTTAGAGAAAAAACAAGAATATATACCGAAAATGTGAACTCAAACAATGATAATCTTAGGTTAAACTTAACTAATAGGGTAATACTTAGGTAAACTTAACTAACCGTATTTACTTAACGTTATTACCGCACGAAAACTTTCTATTTACATTTTTTAATACGGTATCATGAGGTACTCACTGGCACAACAACCAAAACTGATTATTTCGGTCTTTCCAATATTCCGGTTCATCCGGTCTTCCACTCCAACCGGTTTTTCGGTCCATCCGGTACACCTATTTAGTACCGGGGTCCCACCGATCTGATTGTTGGGACCGGTATACTGGTTGTAGGACTGGTACTTTGTGGTAAATATCCGGTACCGGTTACCGGTAACCGGTACTGAAATCTTAGGACCGAACATCCCTAATTTCTCCACGAGAGATGTCCCATGTTTTTTTATCCACCCTATATATTACATATCACTCATTTACAACAATACAAATTACAAATAGCATCAAAGACGGTATTTGGGTCTATAATTGGAAATATTGTTGTAAGTGTAGTTTAAAATTTGAGAAAAAAATATTTTTTTGACATAGATTTGTGTGTCTGGAAACGTTCTATCCTTTTTTAATCTTTCTATAATTAGTGATAAATTTTGACAACTTTTATGTCAACTTTTAGTAAATGAAGTCTATAGAGATTGCTTTCGCTAAAATTATAATTGATTTTCATTCGCCAATCGTCGTTGATCCTTTTTCTTTATCAGACGGTATAACATAGTCAATATTAATTAAAATATAATAAGAAATGTCACCTTACTTTCTGAAATATTTTGTTACAGAATAATAGTAATTTAGTCATAAACATGACCTCGACATATTAACAAGTAAATATTAGCTTAGCCACTTTTCAGTGAAGTGGGGAATATTTGATATCAATTTAATGGCTATGATGTTATCAGGAATAAAATGCTAATTTTAACTTTAAGCAGACATACATAGTGTCAAAGATAAAATCCGCTTCATATGGGATTTTATATTTTTTTGTATTTTTGTTGATTTAGGTTAAATTTAACTTTTCAATCAATTTTTGTATTGAACTTTGATCAAAATTACTTAAAACAGTGAGGCTATCTTGGGTTTCTGTGAGGAAATATATTTAAAGTGTGCCAATTCTTAGCATTTGATTTTGCATACATATTTTAACTTTTTTTGCCGTATAGCAGCCACAAACATCCTTTTCGTTTACGTAAAATATTATAGCATGTAAATGAATAGGATGATGCACACTATCCGTTCCGTTTCCCTTACGTTCCATATCCTTTACTTCCATATATATTTTTGGAGGACCGACTGAAGTGTATCGGAAACAGCGTTGTCAAGTTCTTACATTTGTACCAGCTGTGTAAATGTTTTGCTGATATTTATTAATTTTTTTCAAAAAAAAAACGCAAAAGAAAAATTTTTGGTCAAATTTGAAGTGTTATATTTTTGTTATTTTTAGCCATATTTTCATGAATTTTTTAGCAAGCTGTATATAACTATATCAACTTTAATTCGTAAACTCAGTTTTTTATTACCTTTAGTATTTGGCATATTATACAGGGTTAATCGAGGGGTTATTTTTTTACCCTAACTTTGACACACCCTGTGCAATAATTTTGTCAGGAATTTTTCCTAAAATATAATTTTACGGTCAGAACCATGTCTTCTGAGCATTTTATTTTTTGGATTATGTCAATACATGCCTTGGTTAATTTTAAGAGCGAAATGAACTTGCCACCAACAATTTACAATTTTTTCATTATAATTTCTTTTTGAAGTTTTATTTCAATATGACAAGGGGGTTTTGGTGATTATTGTGAACTATATACTACTATGAACTGTTCGACGTTTGTGAAAGGCTTGGCAGGATGGTTAAAGGTCACGAAGCGGTCGTAGCTTCATTAAAAATGAACTTCGCTTGGTTCTTAAAGAAGATTGGGAAAGCATAGCGCAATATGATATTTGCAGTCTCAATGACAGTATAAAGGGACCTATGAAAGGGACGTATACAGGCAGTCAGGTGGATGACACTTCTTATTGGAGAACTGGCAATGGTTGAAAACGTATTTTATTGTGGTGAAATTAATTTCTGTTGTATATTTGATATTGATATTAAACATATTTTTAAAAAATGGTGTATTTTTTGTGTTTTTGTATATGTCATAATTAAAAATAAATGAAGAAATAAAATTTTCTATTTTTTAAACTTCCCGCCATGCGTGGCAATTTAGTCCGTAGTTCCTACAAGCGAAATTGGGGGCGCTAGTAGCAGTAGACTTGTCAATAGTGTCAAATTTAAACGTCAATTTCACTTTCCAATATTTAGCAAGGCGCTCGCACTTCTTCTTGTGTATGTGTTTTGTGCAGGCAGTTATAGTAGCCAGGGGAGGCAATACAAAGTATTAGGGTATTTTTTACAATTTTTTTTTCTGTTTGTATGCTTCAGTGTTAGAGATGTTTTCTTTAATATCGTTAGTTCTGTTATCGTTATTAATGTTTATTAAAACCAGGACTGTATCGTTAGTATTTAACGTTTTTTAATATATTATAGAGTATCCGACCCAGCGTAATATACGTTACGACACCAATAGTCACCAAAACCATCTCGTCATATTAAAAAAAATCATCAAGTAATGATAACTGAAAAAATTGCAAAATAATCGTGATCAGTTCATTTCGCTCTTAAAAATTAATCAAAGCATGTATTGACATGATCCAAAAAACTAAATGCTCAAGAGACATGGTTCTTAACGTAAAATTATATTTTAGGAAAATTTACACACGAAATTATTGCACAGGGTGTTTTATAATTAGGATAAAAAACAACCCTCCATCAACCCCGTATAATATGCCAGTTTCTAAAGTTTATACAAAAAACTGAGTTTACGAATTAAAGCTGATATAATTATATACAGTTTGCTAAAATATTCATAAAAATAGGGCTAAAAATAACAAAAATATGACACTTTAAATTTGACCAAAATTTTCTTCGTTGTGTTTTTTATGGATCTGAGTGTATATACCGTATGACCGAAAAAAACGGCGTCCAGTTGGCTGGGAAATGACGATCAATGACATTTCCCATATAAATTTACATATAAAATGACAGCGATCTTCATTTCATTGTAATAATCGAAAAAATCATATTTTTTTAATATTATATTTATTTTTTAAAGAAAGTTTTCTCAATCTGTGTGAATCAAGCAACAATAATATAGAAAAAAAATAATGAATATAACATCAACAAAACTATTCAAAAATTCACCATTTATTTGTAAAATCGGATAGAAAATATTTTAGTTTTATGTATTTTTTTAGGTTTATATTTTTATCAATCAGCAGATGATTAAAAATAAGTTGCTGATGATACTAATATGGTTAGCGAAACGCGCGCCAACTGTTAAAAGTAATGTGTTTTCTAAGGCAATGAGAAAATCAGTCATTTAATTTGGTAATCATATATAGAATATAGACTAACTTTTGGCACAACTTTTGGTCTGTGGTAATCTGTGTTATTTGTTATTTTTACAAATGACAAAATTTGTATTTTCTTATTCACTTTAGTAGTTACTTTAATAACTTATAAAACTTTGTGTATTAACAAATCGTATTAAATATTAATAGAGAGTGGGCTTTGACTATATTTCGTTACTGCTGCCTTCTCTTTACTGTAATATAAAATGACCATAATACATTTCTGTTAGGTATAATATATCGCTCACCGCTTTAACTAATCCACTTATATGAGTTAAAACTTTAATGCACCCGCTATAATTGTCGGTAAAACATATAACACAGGACATATACCTAAAAGCTTTTTAATATATTTTAGGACCCCCTTTCTCGGATCGTCTAATAAACTTTCGTCTTTCATCAAACTTTTGATGCTTTGAAAAATGGACGCTCCACTTTACTTCAGTATTTGTTGGTTTTAATTTAGTGGTAAACGACAACGAAATAGTTTTTGAACAATAATATAAAGATAATAAAAACACGATACTCTTAAATTTTGGATTAGTAAGAGAGTAATTTGAGCCATAAAATAATAAATACAAGAAGAAGTGTCAAGTCAATGTTAAATTATGGAAACAGCGTGGCTGCCTGGGCAACTAAAGGTTGTCGCCCACTAGACCGCTGCGCGGCGCGGCACTGGGAAGAGAATTTTTTCCGGCTGCGAAGGGACTGCGCCCACTATAGCGCGCTTTTGAAACGCGGCAACGCTATTTAGTTATAGTCGAAGTGTTTTTTACTTACCGTAGTTTAGTTTTTAAAGCAATGAGTTCAAGTACGGACGAAAGCGTATTTTTTGTGCTCTTCTAACAGAGGAAGAGGAAAAGGGGGTGAGGAAAAGTTTGGACTCATACGATTAACAAAAAAAGAAAGAAGTTTGGAGAATTTTACCATCTTTTTCCAGATTTAATAAAAGACAAAATCATTTTTTTCAGTATTACAAAATATAAAGGAAACATTTTACGCACTCCTCAATTGAGGGTTTTAGAAGAAAAAACACCGGGTATATCTACTCATCATATTTTTTCAGAAGAGACAAATTGCTAATATTTTTGATAATTCTTATTTATTCTGATGGTCAAAAAAACCCTGATCTTTTTTATATATTTAGGTAATTAGAATTTAAAAATTGGAGATTGTCACTTTTGTTAAAAAGTGGAGATTGCCAGTTTTGCCTCTACACCCCTCAATTATATTAAATCTTTGATAGAAAGGCATTTCGTCCATCTGTCTCTAGTGAGGGAAGACTAAAAAAAATATCATATTCCTTTATGAAAATCGATTTGCCTAATTTACCTTTAAAAATACAATACTGCCATTGATACATATCACTAGTTCCTAGTCAAAAGCCAACTGAAAAGACTCGAATGCAAAATTATTTCCCTTGTGAGTACGCACACTGCAACGCGCCGAAACGCGGGAGAGCTAGAGAAGTCTTCCGACTTCTTGACGGAAATCCCGCGGCGCGCTTCTGCGCTGCGCGCTCTAATGTGCGTTGGTCCATTTAAATACATGGCAAGCAGACAAAAGAAATTTCCACATGGCGCCGCGCCGCGTCGCGCCGCGGTCTAGTGGGCGACAACCTTAATTTTCAGATATGGCGGCTGGGACACTTGACATGACATAGACATGACAATTTCAATTTTATTAAATTTATTTCTGTTTCCGGTTTTTAATGGCGGGCTGTTCAGGAGGTTTAAATGAGGGTTAATATACTCTTTACTCTTTCTAGTAATATATAATACAACAAAATTATTCAAAAATATTTATTTCAAATTTAAAACAATGTAAATATGCAAATCAACACAATTAAAGAGATATGTGGGATACTGGCAGGAGAGGAAATTAAAGAGTTTATAAATTTAACTATTTATTTAAACAAAATAAAATAAATTAAATAGATTAATAATCGTGTCGTATTTTCGTCGTAATTTCGTCGTTCGTCGTGCGCCAGCTCCCGACAAGGTAAATCACCATCAAACTCCAACTCAACTGCCTTCTTCTCGCGTCGGCGCTGCACTCGTCGTCGTCGGCTTGACCTTGCGCGCGCTGTCTACGCCAGGAGCGTATTGAGGCGCGATCCCATAGCTCGGCCGTCCTGTAAATCATCTGCCTCAGATGATCTGTCAATATCATCTAGGTCATCTTCATAGGGAATCCAAGGCTTCATGAATTCTGCGCATGTAGAGGTTTCCATTGGGCCTTCACAAAAACCGGTTTTCTGTACATCGTAAGTTTCATTCGGCTTTACTTTAGTAACTTTGTATGGACCAAGGTATTTCGGCTTCAACTTTAAACCAGGACCCATCTGAGTTCTCTTTATGGCAACTAGTTCATTTTTCTTATAATTTCTTGGTGGACGTCTTCGTAAATTATAAGTCTTCTTATTTTCTTCTTGAATCTCTTATAGCTTTTTTAGCTCTTGCTCTTAAATCTTCTCTGTCTTCTTGAAACTCTGCTACAAATTCTTCATTTAACATTTCTTTGATTCGTAAGTCATTTTTGTCTCTCATC